GGGAGGGAGGTGACTCCATGTTAGTGGTCCTGGGGGAGGGAGGTGACTCCATATTAATGGCCCTGGGGGAGGGAGGTGACTCCATATTAATGGCCCTGGGGGAGGGAGGTGACTCCATATTAATGGCCCTGGGGGAGGGAGGTGACTCCATATTAATGGCCCTGGGGGAGGGAGGTGACTCCATATTAATGGCCCTGGGGGAGGGAGGTGACTCCATATTAATGGCCCTGGGGGAGGGAGGTGACTCCATATTAATGGCCCTGGGGGAGGGAGGTGACTCCATATTAATGGCCCTGGGGGAGGGAGGTGACTCCATATTAATGGCCCTGGGGGAGGGAGGTGACTCCATATTAATGGCCCTGGGGGAGGGAGGTGACTCCATGTTAATGGCCCTGGGGGAGGGAGGTGACTCCATGTTAATGGCCCTGGGGGAGGGAGGTGACTCCATATTAATGGCCCTGGGGGAGCAACTTCATATTAGTGGCCCTGTGGGAGGGAGTTGGCTCCATGTTAATGGCCATGGGGGAGGGAGGTGACTCCATGTTAATAGCCCTGGGGGAGGGAGGTGACTCCATGTTAATGGACCTGGGGGAGGGAGGTGACTCCATGTTAATGGCCATGGTGGAGGGAGGTGACTCCATGTTAATAGCCCTGGGGGAGGGAGGTGACTCCATGTTAATGGACCTGGGGGAGGGAGGTGACTCCATATTAATGGTCATGCTTTTGGACTTCACTAGAGTGTCTCCCATTCTATGGAACTCTCTACCCCAACCTGTCCGTCTATCTCCCACTCTGACTGCCTTTAGGCGATCCCTTAAGACTCATCTCTTCAGGGAAGCCGATCCCACCGCAACCTAACCGCTGAACAATCACTTTCTCAAACAATCATCCCCACACAGCTACCTCCTCATGTATCACTGGCCCCTCCCTTTTAGAGTGTAAGCCCTCAGGGGCGGGGCCCTCCTTACCATCTTGTCTTAAATTGTATTGTGACTGTAATGTCTTCCTTATATTGTAAAGCGCTGCGCAAACTATTGGCGCCATATAAATCCTGTATAATAATAATAATAACTGGATCTCCAACCAGCTCACATCGGTGTGGGGTTCACAAGCTTCTGGTCACATGGTGTACCATTGGGTTCTGTAGTCACCATCTTCTTATGGGTCAGCTGTGTCCCAGCCGTAGAATGTGTCTGGTTGGCCGGGGGCACGTGTTTATTTTGTATCTGGATAATCAGACGTGGGCCACATTTAGAGATGATCCGGGTCCCGTGTCCAGTATTTTTTTTTTTAGGTGGAACTCTGAGAGTGTGTCTGGGGCAGAGCTCCATTTATACAGCGTGACTTGGGTGGCGATGTTCTGCGGACGCTCTCTGGCTCAGGAACGCAGTATTTCCACCTGGCTCAGGTTACCGGGGAAGTGTAATGTGCTAAATGCATTTGTAAGAGGAGCCGCCGGATTATTGCTCCCTGTTATTTCCAGCAACGGCTATTTAGAGGACGCGAGCGGTGGCAGGTCCAGCTGCCCGAGTCTTCTCACCGGGCCCCATTAGACCTTCCTTCTCGGAGCCTTGAGGAATACGGCTCCTGTCTGTGTTACCCGGCAGCGTTATTGGAATTCGCGGGGCAACTGAGGAATATATCTGAAATTAAAGTATTTGGTGTTGC